ACAAGTAAGGAATTTAAACGTAAATAGCATCAGATGAAGTTTGTTTATGTCAAAAATATTCAAAATATTAAGTTTTGTAAACAAAGGTGCAGAATGTGCGTGGAAACTGGCGCCGGTGGCTGAACGAACAAATCTTTTTTGGAGTAATACTAGGGGCTGTAGTGTGATTTTGTAGGCGCATCCCCAGACTATATTCCCGTAGGTTAGATATGGGTATATTAAGCTATTGTATATGGTAATAATGGTTTTTTGAGTAAGAAAATGTTTAATTTTTCCAATAATACCGATAGTTTTTGTAAATTTTTTTTTACCTAACATAGTTATATGTGGTTTCCAGGTCAATCGTTCATCAATGATTATACCTAAGAATTTGGCTTGACTCTCTTGAGAAAGGGTCACATTTTTTAGAAAGATTTTGGCGCTTCTATTGTAGGTTTTATTTCTATTACAGAAAATAAGGTAGTATGTCTTCTTAACATTGACTGATAATTTATTTGCCTCAAACCACGATATAACCTTTTTTCAATTCTTCGTTAGCCAGGTTTACTAGCGTATCAAAATTTCGAGTTTTGAAAGAAAAAGATTTTGAATCATCTGCAAATAGGATAAAGATATAATTGAGGATGCTTTTTCGAGGTCATTTAAATAAATCAAAAAAAGTAGGGGTCCTAGTATCGAACCCTGTGGGACACCACATTCTATCATTTTAAGTTGTGATTTATAATCATTAAGGGTTATGTATTGCTGTCTATTGGATAGATAAGAAGACGAACCTATTTTATTGGCGGTGTCACATATACCATATTCGTTTTAGTTTATTGAGTAGAATGGAATGATTAACTGTATCAAAAGCCTTTGATAGATCGAGAAAGATTCCTATAGTGTATTCTTTGTTATCTATAGCGGTAGAGATTTTTTCCATTAAGTGTATGAGTGCTAGAGACGTAGAATAGCCCTTTCTGAAGCCATATTGGTGTTTATATAGGATGTTATTTTGATTTAAATGTTTCAGAAGACGATTATATACTAGTTTTTCCAAGACCTTAGATACGCAGGGAAGGACAGATATTGGTCGATAGTTATTAACGCTAAGTGGATCACTGCTTTTAAAGATAGGCGTCACTTTTGCGACTTTTAGTGGGTGAGGAACAACTCCATTTTGCAAGGATAGAGACAAAATATGCGTTAGAGGGGCAATAACATAGGGCAGTGATAACTTTAGTACTTTAGGGCTTATTTCGTCATGACCAGCAGCTGAGTCTTTTAAGTTTTTGATAATATCTGTAATTTCAGCACTAGTTGGTGGTATAAAAGTTGATAGGTTAGAATTTACTTGTAAGGTGATGTAGCTAAGAGGGTCTTGTATTCCTTTTGGGATTTTACTCTCAAGCGTAGGTCCAATATTAATGAAAAAATCATTGAATTCGTTACATATTTCTTCTTTATTTTCGGTAGTTTTGGTACCAATTTGTATTTTGTTTGGACCAGCTGATTTACTTTTATTACGATTCAAAACGTCATTTATCAGGTTCCATGTTTGTTTTATATTACTGGTGGCTTCATTGAACTTTCTGTGGTAGTATTCCTTCTTTGCATTTTTTAGGAGATGATTTAACTTATTCCGGTATTTTTTATAGATACTGTGGTTTAAGGGTGTCGGGTTCTTGACATATTTAGTAAAGAGCTTGTTTTTTCTGCGTATTGACTTTAACAATCCACTGCTTAGCCAGGGTTTTCTGCGAGAATGTTGGGAGATTTTTGTAATTTTCTTTGGGAAACATTTTTCGTATAACGATCCGTATGTTTCAAAAAATTGATTATATGCTTTTTCTGTGTCTGTTTCGTTTAATACGTCGCTCCATACTATTTCTGATAGGGATTGTGTAAATTTCTGAATATTAGTTGTGTTAACTCGACGATAAGATATTTTGTCTGTCTGCCTGACTGGCTCGTTTAAATCGGATGTAAAGAATATTGGGAAGTGATCTGATATGTCAGTGATGAGGATGCCAACTTTGATATTGTTGCTAACAGAGTTTGTATAAATGTTATCTATCAAGGTAGCAGAGTAGGGTGTAATTCTGGTAGGTTTGCATATAAGTGGGTAAAAACCAGATGAGAACATTTCATTTACATGATCAGTAGTGGGTTTGTTAGTGTTGTTTAACAGATTAATATTGAAATCACCAATAATGTAACAAGTTGTTCTTTCCCTATTAATATTGTTCATAGATTCCTTTATGCGCTCATTGAATTCTGCAATGTCGGTATTTGGTGGGCGATACACACAGCTCAATATTGTTTTTTTCTCCTTCGGGTTACTTGGAATTATTGGTGTTATGAGGGCTATTTCATAATAGGCAATAAACTTCATTGTCATTGTAACGTGCACGAGGACTATCCAGAACCGTGCCTGAGCAATGTTCTGGATAAAGCACGGTTCTGGATACACGTGGACTATCCAGAACCGTGCCTAAGAATGGTTATGATAAAGCACGGTTCAGGATACAACACAAGGTGAGCGAAATGGGGGGGGGGGAAGTCACGCAAAGACTGACTGTCTTCTCGCCTAATCTCCAAGCAGATCCCTTTCGGTGGCAAGACAGCATCCATTGGCCAGAGAAGGTCGCCGCCGACGGAGGGTGGGGGCAGCGACAAAAAAACGGCCATATATAAAAAGCTAAAGATCATTCCCCCACAACCTCTGCTTGGAGAGTACTTGGTATCCAGTCTTATGTGATTGGGGGATGTTCAGGCAGGTTGTGCCTTCGGGGGCTCTAATAGCTTCCCCCGCCCAGTGCAACAGGCCGTCCCGGTAGGAGTTTTACAGTATGAGAGATAGTATGCTTGGGGATTTGTTTTCCCCCAACACAATGTTCGTTGAGGGCTAATAAATCTCTCGTGAAATACACACCGGGAAACCTATGTAAGGCGGGCAGGACAGAGCTCTTGTGGCCCCAACCACGATCAGACAGGATACCAGGCTAGTACAAACATCGTACTGACCGCGGTTGTCTCGGGCTAGCAGAGGTTGATATTGTCCTGAAGTAGTCGGCTCTGTCTGCAGTAATTCCAGTCCAACTCGTCTGGCGTGAGCTGTGCGCGCCGTCTTCAGCAAACCCTTCAACTACGCAGCACGAATTGATGTTTGGGGGTCCGCATGGCCTTTTCCGTAGAGCGTAATCGGCCGTTTTAATTCCACGTAGAGGGACTGTTCTAATTCAGCGTAGAGCGTAATTGGCGCATTTTGCGTAGATCGTAACTTGCCGGGTTTGTTTAAGGTATTACGTTGTAGCTACCTGGAATTTATCATAAAGCGTAATGGAAATCAGCGTAATACGTACAATGTATAGCCGTCTCTCAACATTCATAGCGTGTAGAGCGTTGTTGCCCCCCCCCCCATGCAGGCCCTCATGTTTACCCAGACCCTGAAGAATGTAAACACCGTCTGTTACACCTCAGCCATTTACGTTATCAAGTTCCTTGAGTAGGTTAAAGTTTAACAGTCTCAAACCCGCCTTCGTGACCACGTGAAGTGTGTGTACAGCAAACGTCCGTCGAGGTTATCATTAGTTGTTTATAGCATAGCTGTGGGGTCGTGTGGCGCAGTCGGTAGCGCTTTCGGCCCAGAGGTCGCGGGTTCGAAACCCTGCCCATGTCACCGATCTTGTGCTCTTAGGAAAGGCACTTTACACGACTCTATCTCCTCACTTTACTTTAGGTGGAAATGAGTACCTAGCTTCGGTTAGGGACGTCCCTAGGATAGGACGTTAAATGGAGGTCCCGTGTTTGGGAGAGCCACCACCCCATGCTCGTTAAAGAACCCACCACACTTATCGAAAAGAGTAGAGGACCTTCCCGGTGTGAGTGGTTCAAACCTTACAGTCTGGTCTTACGCAGCTTGTACATGTACGCACATATACAAAACTGTTGTGTTACGCCTAAAGGCGGTTTACGGGTTATGCGAAATAAACAAACAAACAAAAGTTGTTTCACCGTAAACGTGAAGTGTTTTGAAGCCTTAAAAGTTATACTTACTTCGCGATCTGTCTTCGCTTAACTTCGTATCCAATACCGGCTGTCTAGTTCTATGTCTCATGGGTTAGGGTTACGGTTAGAGTCAGGTATTTGTACAGGCATAGTTACAAACAAGTCTACTACAGACCTGGGCCTGGACGTGTGATTTCAGCCAGAAGGGCGTAGTGTTTGTTTTGCTGTGGTTTATACAATGGGTGGAAGACCTTTATTGTTATGTTCTAACAAGCTAAGTACAGGTCACGCTGTTCCAGGTGCAATATAACAGTCACTGTAATACAAGTCTGGTATATTACTACATCTACAGAATACTACTATGGACATGTACAATTGATAATTTATACGAATTCTCGTTTCTAAGGCAATTGTAAGAACAGATAGTTCCATGACTCAATTGGTTACGGTGAGGATCAGGCACTGAGTTCTGGATAGCCTCCGCGTATCCAAGAGCGTAGATTTGGCGAAAGTACGTATACGTACGGGTCTGGATATGCGCGGATGTGTTTGTGTGTGTGTGTGTGTATGAGTGTGTGTGTGTGTGTGTGTGTGTGTGTGTGTGTGTGTGTGTGTGTGTGTGTGTGTGTGTGTGTGTGTGTGTGTGTTTCCGCACATTTGTAGTCAGCATAACTTCAGAACGCCTTTATGGATTGTGATGATATTTGGTATGCTGGTAGGTCTTAGAAGGCCAAAGGTCAAGGTCAAATATGGGCCTCCTGGTGGCTGACCTTGGTACTGCAGCAGAACTTCCGGGAAAACAGATGTGCGGGGTGGCAGGGAAACAGATGTGCGGGGTGGAGGCAGCGCCTGCCCTGTTTGATTAATGAGGTTCTCCCTCGGGAAAAGCCTACATGACCATATCCAGGTCAAAGGTGCTACTGTGTGTTTGAAACCAAAAACCTGTGTTATTTTGTTTTGTACTGTAGTGCACTGTGTAAAAACATTTTAAAAACTCATTTCATGGAGGTATAAGATCTCCGAATTCTTGTTTAGTTTCTGAAACATCATTTACCAACAAGAAACCAAAGTTTGAACTTTCTACCAATCGGCAGAAGAGTCATTCTATCTATCTAGTTAATTATCTCATGATATTATGAAGTCTGGAAATATTTTAAGAACAAGTTGTTTCTATCGTTGAAGAGGTTCATCAGTCACATGTGGTCCTAAAATGCACAGAAAGATTAAACTTCATTGCCAAAAATTTCCGTGGGGCTCTCTTTTCCCAAATCACCTTTACAGCATGTAAAATAGGAGGAATCCGTTCAGGAAGGAAACAGACACACACACAAACACACACACACACACACTAACACACACAAACACACACAAACACACACACACGCACGAAAACATATCAACCATTTTTCAGGTAATTACATAACAAAGTAATGGTACCTTATAATTAGCTTGTTCCTACATAGAATGGAAAGTTCCAGATTACGTCATTGTAAGTTTATCGTCCAATCAAACAAAATGGCGGGCAGGTAGGCGGAAACGTTACCCCACCTTTGCAGTTCTCCACCAACGAAGAAGAAATTTGCTGCATTACTGCGTAGATCCGAAAAACAATTTTCGCTAGACATGGCAAGCAACATTTCCGAGGACCGGGATCAGTTTGAAAAGGTACTAGACTCTTTTTAATTGCGTAGTGGCAAATGCTTCAATACTGTACTTTATGGTGGTTAGTTTTGGCAAAGTAAGGCAAAGAAACTTCGTTATGTGGTTTCGTTAGAATTGTGTTATTACAGGTGCCAGCATGAAAATTGAGACTTAAGATAATATATGTATACTTGGAATACGGGAATATTAACATAGTATACATGAAATATTAACAAATCAATACAATATCAGTGTTATAACGACATGCAATGGGTGTACCTAGTACGTGACGAGGCGTCTGTGGACTTTGAACGTCGGTTGAGGAAGCTTGATCAAATATTTAACTGGTAACCATATCGCACCTGGTAATTTACAATAGGTCTAACTGTAGCGCTGTGCAAAGGACAAATATTGACGCTGCCGTCTGAATATAGTAATTTGCTATTTAACTGATAATGAGTTAAAATGTGTTGGACAGTCACTTCAAAATTCCGTTGTATCTCTTCAATGATGTGAAATTCAATTGTTTTCTCTCCTTTGCGGCTGGCGAAATTTTGCATAATCATGTACTCAATATTATATAAAGTTCATATATAATATAATAATATCAAGCTTTAGGTGTTGGCCATCATCTTGTTTAAAGAGTCGCTTCCAAAGATGATGCTAGTGACTCGATCTAATCACCAGATTTTTAGAGTCTCAGAGAGGGGCGAGCTATGATATTGACTTTTTGCTACCTCTATTCTTCTTGATATTGCTGCTGTTTTATTGTGATGATGAATGTCGCTTTCTTCAGGAACTCTGTGATGCAGCTATTAGAGGAGATGAAAAGACAGCGACGAAGCTGCTCCAACAAGGAGTGGATGTCAACTGTGTCAACATTGTGAGTATTGAAGAACCACTTTTGTTGATCACAAACCTGTTGACTCACAAGAATAAGCCACGGTTGACATCGTTCCTATTGAGGGACGTTTTACGAAGCTACTTTTCTTCCCTGTCCATAAAAGTAACCCGGTTTTAACAGACAATCCAGAACACTGGCGATCGTCTATTGTGGCGTTAGCTAAACATTATTTTCATTACCAGTTACATAAAATTCTCTAAGCAGAGGTAAGGATATCGGAAAGGATAGGTTTGTGAGGAAAAAAAATTACCAGCAATAATACTTAAGAAGCCTGATGTAAATTTTTTAAGATTCAACTTAAAGGCTATTGGTAACTTTAATACGTTATAAAAGACAGCTTAAAGTAAACATGGCGTTGCTGAACTCCTCCTAAAGATTGGCGCACAGGAGGACAAAGAGGGTGGGCTAAGGGTTGCAGTTTGTGAAATCAGGTGATCAGGATGGATATGCTAAGTTTCTGACGTAAAGCATACTCAGTGTAAATCGTATCAATGACGAAGGGCTTATATTACAATGTAATATCATCTCGGTTCCTGTTGTGACAGTTTGGAAACACGCCACTTCACTACGCAGCTTCAGGAGGACATGTTGGTGTTGCTGAACTCCTCCTGAAGGCTGGAGCACGGGTGGACAGTAGGAATGAGGTAAGGGTTTATGCCTATATATGTGGTGGAAATGTGTGAAGGTTAAACTTCACTTAATATATGTAGTGCTTCTTTGGATAATGTTAAATATCTTCTCTTATGTAATGTCATCTCTGTTCCTGCTGTGACAGTTTGAACACACGCCACTTCACATCGCAGCTTCACGAGGACATGTTGGTGTTGCTAAACTCCTCCTGAAGGCTGGAGCACAGGTGGACAGTGGGGATCGGGTAAGGCTTGATACTTACTACAGGGGATTGACATGCTTAAATTTTGAAAGTCAAGGATATTTAGTGTTTGTGTTTATTAGAATAATGGGGACAGGCTTCTCTAACCATGTAATATCATCTCTGTTCCTGCTGTGACAGTTTGAAGACACGCCACTTCACATCGCAGCTTCAGGAGGACATGTTGGTGTTGCTGAACTCCTCCTGAAGGCTGGAGCACAGGTGGACAGTAGGGGTTGGGTAAGGGTTGATACTTACTACAGATTATGAAAACATATTCGAGTGTTAAACGTCACACATATATGAGGTGCTTATTATAATAATGGGGATAGACATGCCATGTAATGCCATCTCTGTTACTGCTGTGACAGATTGAAGACACGCCACTTCACCACGCAGCTTCAGGAGGACATGTTGGTGTTGCTGAACTCCTCCTGAAGGCTGGAGCACAGGTGGACAGAAAGAATGGGGTAAGGATTGATGCTTACTGCAGATTATGAAAACATATTCGAGTATTTAACGTCACACATATGAGGTGCTTATTATAATAATGGTGATAGACATGCCATTTAATGTCATCTCTGTTCCTGTTGTGACTGGTTGAAGCCATGCCTCTTCACATCGCAGCTTTAGAAGGACATGTTGGTGTTGCTGAACTCCTCCTGAAGGCTGGAGCACAGGCGGACAGTAGGTATGGGGTAAGGGTTGATGCTA